ATGCTGTCAAATCATATCTATCATCGCCTTCATAGCAGTCCGTATCATTATCTATCTCCTGGCTCCTTTCTCTATTATTTTTGTCTAGCTGTCAAGGATGCTTGATTGAACAGATTTGTTTAGTGAAATAATACACATTCAATTTGTCTGACATGTGACCAATTTCCATCATTGGAACATTATTATTCAATGAAACAAATGCAGTCTTCACTCTGAGATTGCTTTTGTGCAACAAGAAATATTATCATTCTCCTAAACTGACAACAGACATTAGAATGATATAACAATTGGTATTTATGTTGGAAATATTTGATTTATATACACACCTTACTGATATATACATACATACATACATACATACATATATATATATGAAAATGCATATATATATATATATATATATATATATATATATATATATATATATATATATATATATATATATATATATATATATATATATATATATAGAGAGAGAGAGAGAGAGAAAGAGAGCTTCATATCTCGCACCTCTCGCCTGTGGAACTACCTTCCCTATTCCTGTTTCCCTGAGAGCTATAGTCTCCAACTATTCAAATGTAATGTCAATCAACATCTCCAGTTGCCTTGATCTATCCACTATCCTTCTCCTCATCCTTTCCTCTATCACTCCTATCTGATCTTGCTCCAAAAAGGGACTTGGGGTGATGGAGATGTGGTTCTACAGAAAGATGCTGAGGATATCATGGACCAATCATGTGAGCAATGATGAGGTCTTGGAGAGGATTCAAATAAGGAGGAGGCTTATACTTAACATCAGGAAGAGGTAGCTGAAGTTTCTGGGACATGTAATGAGAAAGGAGGGCCTGGAGAATCTGATACTCACAGGTTGAATAGTGGGAAAGAGAGACAAGTGAAAGCAATGCATGACATACCTGATGGTCTTAAGCAAGTGGTTTGAGGGAGGTGGCAGAGGGACGAAACTTACTGAGAGTTACAAGGGATAGGGGAAAGTGGAGAGCCATGATCACCTATGTCCTGAAAGGACATGGCACATAAAAAGGAAAAAGAAGTGCATGTAGACGAGGCTATTATATTTGTATTATCAATGAGTATGTTACGGATAGAGTTTGATAGGTCTCCATGTGTATTTAAATGAAACCTTATTGAGCTATGGTCAGAGAGATGTAATGTGAGTCTTCTTGTTAAACATGTTGTAGTATATCCAGTATAATTATAATAAATTAGAATTGATCAAGAACACAGCTCTTTAAAGGATATGCAAATTCGTAAATAATATTAGTTCTTTGTAACATAGATCTGGCAGGTGAATTATTAGTGTTGACAATGAGGTTAGCAGTTTTAAATTTTTTGTAATAAATAATTAATTTAATTTTCTTCTTTTTGTCAACTGGCATTTTGTATTTCTTTTAGGATGTTACTAAGTGAAGATTTGTCTTGCTTATAGTTACCATGCATTTGATTTTTATAAAAAATGTTAATGTTATTGTTTTTTTCCTGTGTTTTGTATTGCTACTTATTACCTTAAAAAGAAAAAGTCTAATATGGTAATCTATAAGACAGTTTGGAAAACTGTTATTAACAAACGTTTGTTTCTTTAAAGAAAAGCAGACGAGAACATGAATTCTTGTGCACTCGTATAATGAAATTTTAATAACACCTATTTTATATCTGAGAGGACATTGGTTAGTAAAATTAAGATGGCAAGAGTTTTTACTTGTGGGTTCTTTATATAACAACAGTGTGAATATATTATTATTAGACTCCACAAGAATTTCCAAAAATGGGAGTTTATTTTGTTGGCTAAGTTCATTAGTAAATTTGAGGATGGAATTTGATTTGAAAGTTTTTTTTTTAGATTATTGATTACATTTTTGTTCTCAGCTAAAATAAAAATATCATCTATGTAGTGGACGCATATTTTTGATTTAGTAATCTTTTGAAAAACCTTGTTTTCTATGTGGAACATATAATCGAGAAGCATGGACTGAGAGGATTTCCCATACTCACTCTATTTGTTTGAGTGTAAATATTGCAGTTATAGTTGTAGAAAGGGACTTTAGTTGTGCAGGTATGTAATAATTTTTTGAGAATATTAGGTTTGATAGATGGGGTTTGATAGATGGAGGATTATATCAATGGATTTCATTGAATTAGTAAATAAATTTTTAACGGATATCGTGGTTTGTTTTGTAGTTTAAGGATTTGGGCTTATGTATTTTAACATTTCATTGAGGAATTTTGACAGTTGGTAAATAGATGTTGGGTTAGATATTCTGATATCTTTGCGATAGATATTCTGGTTGCGATGGTAAATTGTCGTTTAAATTATTCAAAAATGAAAATAACACTGACATCACATTTTAACAGATATATTCACCAAAATTGCATAAAAATATCTTGAAATATGAAAGACCAAATTTATTCAATAAAATCGTCATTGGCTTCATCCCCAGCCTCCAGACTTCAGAATGTCCTGCGTCTCTTCTGGGCGGTTTCCTTGTTTGAGTGATGCTAAATTATGCTAAAAATGATAACAACACTGACATCTCATTTTAAGAGAGATGCACAATGCGATGGATAAATTGTCGTTTAAATAAATAACACTGAGATCTCGCTTTAACAAATGTTCAGGACGCGATGGATAAATTGTCGTCTAAATAAAGCCAAAATGAAAATAACACTGACACCTCACTTTAACAGATATTCAGGGTGCGATGGATAAATTGTCGTTTAAATGAAGCCAAAATGAAAATAACACTGACATCTCACTTTAACAGATGTGCAGTGTGCGATGGATAAGTTGTCGTCTAAATGACATGAAAATGAAAATAACACTGACATCTCATTTTAACAGATATATCTACCAAAAATACACAAAAATATCTGTAAATACTAAAGACTAAATTTCTCCAATAAAATCGCCATTGGCTTCATACAAGGCCTTCAGACGACTTCAGAATCTCCTTCATCTCTTCTGTACGGTCTCCTTGTTTGAGTGATGCTAGAATGCCTTGTTTTGGTTTTGTAGCTTGAAGGATTTGGAGGAATTCATGGGTTGATTTAATGCTATAATTGGAAGGTAGATATGGAGTAATAATATCATTGAGAAATTTAGACAATTAGTATATGTGTGTTGGTATCTGTGAAAGATAGGTCATAATGAGTATCTGGGTTTGGGTATTTTGAAAATTCTTATATTGCCTTGAGGATGAAATGCATGAGCTAATTATAGCTTTTCCTTTTGTTGCTTTTTATTCTTTTTGTCTCTTCTACAGATACACTCCATCTGAGAATATTTACACACACACACATATATATTTTCTTTAAAGAGAAAATAATATCAAAATATATTTATAGTAACATTACCAACTATTAACACAGGTTTAAAAAACTACATTATGTCACCATTTTTCTACAGATCCATTATTCATGAATCTAACTTATCTCTCCCAAATACATAAAAATCAATATATACACAAAATATACTTTAATGAAAAATTGTTCAAAATATCCTGCTGTGTCTCACTAACCTTTACATAGTTTAATATCCAAAATGTTTTCTTACACTTATTTACCTGTTACTTCCTTACACGTGACACATATCCAATCAAAACATCCTACTGCATCTTACTAGTGCCGAGAATATTTGCCACACATATTTAAATATTATCTGTTACTTCATTACACATGGCACATATCTAAGCAATATGAAACAGATACCATTAATCTGCATCTCTTTGCTTTTTATCATTTTTATCATTATTATCTTGATCGCTGACAAAGCTTTAATAAAGTGAAATATGTTAGATTAAGATCTGTTTCTGACTTGTTCTGTTTCCTATCATTTTGTCAGATTCCTATCCAGAATTTCTCTCTCTCTCTCTCTCTCTCTCTATATATATATATATATATATATATATATATATACCTAAGTCAAAAATTATTCACACTGTCACCATAACATATCTTTAGTTCTCTCACACTGCCTTTGGCTCATGCATGCTTATAATTGGTACAATTGGGGTCACATGACCAAAGTTTGAGCTTGATTACACCAGTTTTCTTGCTGCTGTTACAGTGTAAACATGGCCGCTCCATAAGCAGTGTATACCAAGGAGAAACAAAATTTGGTTGTTTTGAACAATACATATCTTCTTGCCAAAAGTGTATGGTCATGCCTACTGATGATCATAATACTTTAAAAGCAGCCAGCCATCAAAATCTCACTATTAATTGTCTGTTGTGTGAAATAAAACTAGACAAAAGGTGGGTCTCCGAGCCAAATGGATCCAAAACTACCTCACATCCATTACTATGCCATTTTCCACCAACATCCTGAATCCATACATATTTGGTCATCTCAAGACAGAGGACAATCTGTATAATTTATCAAGGTGGAACTGAAACAGGCAATTGTCATGTTTGAAGACATCAAAATGAAAAGGAGTTACAGATGTCAAAATGTTTATTACTTTTTGTGAGAAGGTGGAATTATATGAAAAGGCATTGATGATGACAGTTGCAATGTATTTCCTGTTGATGACAGGGCAGAGGATTTCAATGTATTTTTCTTTTGTTACCTGTGTTAGGATAACAACCAACTGTAGATGGAGACATTTTGTCTCTGAGAGAGTTTTCAAGAAATGTATGTAATAAGAGCATATCTATCTATCTATCTATCTATCTATCTATCTATCTATCTATCTCAATCTGTTCATATATATATCTATATATCTCAGTCATTTCATATCTATCTATCAATCTATCTCAGTCTGTTCATATCTATCTATCTATTTATATTATCCCATTCAGTAAGATCTTCCTCAACCTGTTCATATTTCATTCTGTTCATATATATCTAGCAAGCTATTTTCATCAGTTTGTTGATATTTATCTATCAAACTATTTCTCTGTCTCAGACTGTTAGTAACTATCAATCTATTTATTTCAGGCCCTCGATCTCTCTCTCTCTTATATATATATATATATATATATATATATATATATATATATATATATAAATATATATGAAAAAAATATACTGAAAAAAAATCAAAAATCCTAATATGCGATTATGCTGTTTTAATGTTTAATGTCAATGTCGGACGTTTTGGTCTAATAGACCATCTTCAGGACATATTCATAAAACATAATTAACATAGACCATATACAATTCAACATGAAAAAGACGATGGACATAAAAGCAATACCAATCCAAACAGATAACTGAAATCTTTTATAAGATCAGCGTTCCATTTAAATATGATCACGTCGTCGTCACATAGGCAATGTTGTGTATGTTATATATATATATATATATATATATATATATATATACAAATGTAAAGAGAATGAAACAAATATAAATTCAAACATTCATAACATTAATTTAAAAGAGAGCTCAATACAAAAGCAGAGCAATAATTATTTATTATTACATTCCAACATTTACATTACCACTACAAAAAAGTATATTTGTTTCAATACCCAATTCAGACATCTCATCAGGTAGTGATCAAAGATAGTTATAAACAATTATTTTTAAAAATGCTAGTTTTGAAACATCACTTCTTTTTATATTTTTAAAAAATTAGTAAGACATAAGAAAAATTTCCATAAAGGAAAAGAATGAAATATATAAATTTACTATAAATGGAAAAGAAAAAAATACACAGGTTAAAGCAGAAAAAAAGAAGAAGACAAGAAATCAATAAAAGAAAGAATGAGAAATAGGAAGAGATAAGAAAAGAAAGGCATAAGAAATCTTCCCTTCTCCAAAGAAAAGGAAAAGAAAAGGAAAGAAGAAGAGAATTAATATATCAAAAATTACAATTACAAAGAAAAAGATTCAGTTAACCATCTGGAAAAAATAATTAACTCACACAACAATAAAATACTGAAATTACATAACAATAATAGCTGTTATGCTGGTTTTAATTGTAATTTGTCCCATGAAACCAACCTATGTAATTGTAGGAATCTTGACCAATGTCCATAATCTAACAAGTGCTTAACTGAATCCCATGTATATATGTGTTCTATTTCATCAATTGAAAATCCCAGGTTTGTTAAGTTTTATATTCAAAGCACCAAAAATTCTTTTAAAATATGTTGGTATAACCATCTCTTCACTTTTACTAATGCTAACAATTGCAATATGACTTCACTTTCTAAATATTTTTTGGAAATTGAAAGGTGAAAACAAAACACCTAAAGTGAAATGGAAAATCCTCAAACAAGCCAGAACTTGTAGATCTTTATATGGACCTTGTTTTCTATGTCTACAGGAGAAAATGCAGATAATTAAACTTTTGAATAGCGATCAATTGTTAAATCAAAGATTTGAAACTGCAATTAATTGTAGGCATGTTGCAGATTTAACTTTACAATCTTTCTAAACTTTAAAACTTTATAACTTAATAATCATTTCTCTTATGTTATATTACCTTCATATAAACATTTTAATGTTATCTTCAGTAGTTTATTTTGAATTAAGGTGATTGGTAGGTTTATACTCATAAATTACTGGATATAATGTTTGCCGTAGATAGGTTTATACTCATATATTACTGGGAATAAGGTTTAGTAATAGCCTTCAGATGTATATAATTCATACAAATATTCAAAATTTATATTTATTTTGTATTTATTCATAATATAATGGTTTTTAAGGTGAATTAGTTATTTTGTATGTCTAATGTTTTTACTTCTTAAAGTATATTTTATTTACATACTATATTTAATTTTGTTTAAAATGTCTGGCTTCTTTCAAAACACCATATGGCTCATGAACTGCTACATTGTGTCTTTTAAAAAAATTTTGTTCCTATATAGTTGTCATCATATCCAGTTCAATTTTGAATACTTTCTGGATTACATCCCTCTCAATGTTAACATTTTTTTCATTGGCTAAAATTATCATCAACAACTTCTGTTTTCCCTTCTTCTTTCTTTTTCTTTGTAATTTTTGATATATTACTTCTCTTCTTTCTTTTTCTTTTCCTTTTCTTTGCAGAAGAGAAGATTTCTTATGTCACTAAAAAAACACATACTTATCTTACACTCTTTTCTATTTTGTAAAGATGACCACACTGCACAAATATTAGACCTCTAGAAATTTATGAAAATAAATGCTGCAACCATTAAGCTTAATCTCAAAGCAATCCATGTACATTGAGAATTGATACAATACCAATTTCATATAACTTGGCCAATCAGTAAGAAGATGAAATTTTGGTATTCAATTTCATGGCAATTCTGACCAATCTGGCAATGATTAGAATAATTCCTTAGCAATTGGAGAATCTCAGGTGACATTCTGGAATACACAGACCTGGGATATCCAGCTTCGATTTATATTGTTCTATTGTCATCCATCATTAATGTTCTTATTTGTCTTTATTTATTTGTTTATTAATTTGGCTTTTGCAGTGGGGAGGGTTCTAATTTCATACTTTATCCAAAACTAATAAAATTCTTTTGCAGCAAAATTGAATTTACAACAACACAAATTTTGATCCAATGTACGGAAGATCATTTCAAATACGATTATGATCTTTTTAAACAATCAGTTCAAATCAGATCTCTCTTTCCCGTGCACCGACAATCAGTTTTCCATACATTGCATTTACGCACACAAATATGCAATTTAATACACTGCTCCATCAAGAGACGTTTGTACAATCATAGACATCGCTCCAACCAGGGCGGGGAAGTGCGATAGATACCAAAATGGAATTGGCAAAATAAATTCAATTTCCATAGGACTAGGTTTGTTGTTCACATCCAACTGATGCCTTTGGCAAAGGCATGCATCTACTTCACCATTCTCTTTTTCCCAACAATTACTGCTTTGTGAAAAAGACTCCCATGTGGATACTTTCCCAAATACTACAATCTTAACTTCTTCAAGTCTAGGTTCAATCGTTATGTATGCTCTACATAGTCATAATGTTCACTTTTTTAATTCCCCATGGCTTACAGACATATCGCCTGTTCTTGTACAATCACTAAAGTTAAGCTACGTTGAACCTTATCAGTACCTAGATGGGTGACCAATTAGGAATACCAGGTGATGTATGCTGGGATGTGTAGGTGGCATAATATGAAACACCTGTTCTTGTATAATTACTTGAGTTAAGCAATGTTCAGCCTGGTCAGTAACTAGATGAGTGACCACTTGGGAATACCAGCTGCTGTAAGCTTGGATGTGCAGGTGGTGTAATGGGCATAGGATAAATATCATCAAATCATTATGATCTCAAAAAAAATTCTTGCAATGTAAAAATATTATCTGGTATTGAATAACCTGCAAAAATTTGATAAGCTGTAAAAACAAACCTATCCATCTATTTCCTCTTCACATCTATACCATACATCTCATTTATAAATCTACCTTGAGTGACTCTTGGGCCTTGTATTGGGTGAAAACCAGTAAAAAAAATCATTGAAAGATACCTTCATAAAATTCTTCAAAATTGGTATGCTATGATTCTTCACAAAGTGAACAACTAAGGATTTGAGAAAACAATTCTTCTCTCACCAACATTCATGCCAAGGTAATGTCCATAAAATAAATAAACTGTTACATCTATAGACAACCTTGACAGAGGCTTGTAAGACTCAATAACTCTAATATATGCTTAAAGAACAAATTACATAGAAAACAAGCAAATTTTGCTTGTTAACTGAATTTTGTTGTAAATATTACTTTTTTGGTGAAACCTATTTGTCATCGATTCCTGCAATCATAAGAACCGAGAATCTAATATGTATAAAATTGAGTTGATGGAAAGTATATTGCTGACTGAACACCTAAGTTTAGTGATATTTTTGCTTACTATCAGTGAACAGAGTTTGTAAAACAATGATGTAAAAGAAATATATAACAGGAAAATATTAAGTAGCTTTCTTCCAAAGTGAAAAGTGCAAACAGGAATTTTGCTCTTGTTATTTTCAGAATATAGTTGATCATGGCTCTCCACAATTTTCTTTCTTTTGTTGTTCTGAGTGAAATTTGATTCTTTATGATCTGTCTTTGTTCATATGTCCTGCCATCCATTCACAGGCACTCACTATGTGGGTTATTTGCTTCTTCCTCCTACTTTTTTTGTCTTAAGTAGGTCCTGTGAGTGTAAAACTCGTGTGCATCTCTTTCTTTATTATGCATCTCACACATTTTAACTCAAATATATGAGTTGATTAGGAGCTTCAAATTACAGAGATCAGAATTGAGTGAATTTCAAAGTGGAGATTTCATAATTGAGTAAGCCTCAAATTTTAGACATCAGAATTGAGTAAGCTTCAAATAGGAGACATCAGAATTAGGTGTGCTTCAAAGTGGACACATCAGAATTGAGTAAGCTTCAAAGTGGACATTTCGGAATTGAGTAAGCATCAAATTTAGACATCAGAATTGAGTAAGCTGCAAAGTGGACATTTTGGAATTGAGTAAGTGTCAAATTAAGACATCAGAATTGAGTAAGCTTCAAAATGGACATATTAGAATTGAGTAAGCCTCACATATCAAAGATCAGAATTGAGTGAGCGTAAAATTGGAGACATCGGAATTGAGTGATCTTCAAAGTGGACACATTAGAATCAAGTAAACTTCAAAGTGGACACTTCAGAACTGAGTGATCATCAAATTTCAGACATCAAAATTAAGCTTCAAATTGGAGACATCAGAACTGAGTAGGCTTCAATGTGGACAAATCAAAATTGAATAAGCCTCAAATTTTAGACATCAGAATTGAGAAAGCTTCAAAGTGGACACATCAGAATTGAATAAGATTCAAAGTGGACACATCAG